TGGCCTTGATTTTTCCCCCTCCTCTAAGCGATTAGGCTTGCTTTTTTTTATCTGGAGTTTGAAATTTCTCATTGGTGAATGTGTCTATGTCTGGTTTTCTAGTTTTCTTTTCCTCTGGTTAACATTAGAAGATTCATCAGTTTGTACATGCCTGATCCTGTGAGGTAGGGGGATTTTTTTTTTTCCTTTATTTTTTTGTTGGTTGTGGGGCTTGAACTCTAGGCTTAGGCGCTGTCCCTCTTCAGGCTCTTCAGCTCAAGGCTAGCACCCTATCATTTGAGCCATAGCACCACTTCTGGTTTTCTGGTGGTTTGTTGGAGATAAAAGTCTCTTGAACTTTTCCTGCTCGGGCTGGCTTTGAACCGTGATCCTCAGATCTCAGCCTCCTGAGTAGCTAGGATTACAGGCGTGAGCCACTAGCACCCAGCTCTTTTATTTCTTAGATAATATAATCTCTACTATTTCTTCCTCTGGAAATATTATCTTATCCTATATTCCCTGGTTGTCTTCTTCTTTTTCTCCCCCAGCTTTACTGAAGCATAATTGGTTTTATATATTATTTTCTTTTATGAAGTAAGACGCCGCTTATTTATGAAGATACATTCTAAGAAGTATGAAATCTTAGATACTACTAAGCCTATATGTAATATGGATATATACAAACATACACACATTTAATGCCCTTTCAAAGCACTTAGGCAATATATGCATAGTTTTGCAGCTTGAAATGTGACAGCAAATGAGCATAGTTAGATTTGTTTTACCACAGATACCAGCAAACCAATGTGTGACTTTTTTTTCTTTCCTTACTGAGAGTGTTAATTTTTTTTTTTTTTTGGTCAGGTGTAGTGGCTGAACTAAGGCTAGCACCCTACGACTTGGGCCACAGTGCCACTTCCAGCTTTTTTCTGTTTATGTGGTGCTGAGGAATTGAACCCAGAGCCTCATGCATGCTAGGCAAGCACTCTACCACTGAGCCAACTTCCTAGCCCTGAGAATGTTAATTTTTTACTTAAAGGGAGGATCTTAAAGCTTCTCTTTGATATATGTGAATTGTCAGTATCATTAAGTTTTCATTTTGGAGACAATCTAATGACAGTGATAATTGGTAGGGTGAATGGCAATGGCTTCTAAATGATAGTGGCATATCCATCATGGAAACAGTGGACAAATGCATGTTTCATGTATCCAGCAAAATGAAGCCAAATTGCATGAGCTCTCACCACACTAGGGAATTCGTACAGTATCTAACTTAAAACTTGTAAATTTTACATTTCTGGAACTTTCCATGTAACTGGGACTGAAACTGTGGAAGGAGAAATGAAGGGTAAGGGAGACTATACTGTATTGCTTATCTCTTCTCTTTCATATTATTATTTTATTTTTATTTGAGAGATGTTACTGACTTCTAATTCTACATTTATGTGTTTTATTTCGTTTGTCACTATATTTAATTAGAAAGGATTTCTTTATTTCTTATACCTTTTCACAGCATCAATTAAGAACATGAACTTATTGACTTTGAGATCGGATTACATATAACTTGTAATTTACCACCTACTAGATTTAGGATGCTGGAAATATTTCCCAACCTGTTTTTGTCTCATGAAGATGATGATTTTATTGACTTATGGAGCTGCTAATTCTACTTCAAGTCAATGAGTATAAGGCATACTGTACCTGAGTGCCTGTGTCTGAGGCAGTTCTTAATACTGCTACAGCTAAACATGGTGACATGGGACAATGAGAAGAATCAGACTTTCCAGATATATTACTTGGGGCTTTTGATAGTTTGGGCTTACCTAACTTTTTTAAAAAAAATTTTTAATTTTATTTTATTTGTGAACATACTGTACAGAGGGGTTACAATTACATGGGCAGGATAATGCATACATTTCTTACCAAGCATTGCAGCCTCCTCCTTTGTTTACCCTTCACAAAATCCCTTCCTTCCCAGCCTCCCCCCTCCCCCCCCAACCCCCCCCCCCCCCCCCCCCCCCCCCCCCGCCTCCGCACCGACGTTGTAAAGCTCATTTTTGACATGACAACTTGTACTTCTCATTGTTGCAACAGGTCCATCTGAATCCTTAAACGGCTTGTTTTTCCCCATCTCCCCCACAAGTTATACTGACATCAAATATAGTGAAAGCAGGGGTTATACTGTGGGGGAGGGACATACAAAGCAACAAAGAAATAATATTATAAATGTGTTAGAAACACATGCATGAAAGAAAACAAACATTAAAATACATATCTAAGGGTTCATTTTCCTAACATCACATTATCTGACCTTTTCCGCTTGACTCATACATATACTAGATATTGCAAATAAGGGAAACCATGGGACCTGTGTTTCTTTGGGCCTGGCTTACTTCACTTAATATAATTTTTTCCAAGTTTTTCCATTTCCTAACAAATGGGGCAATGTCATTCTTTCTGATGGAGGCATAGAATTCCATTGTGTATATATACCACATTTTCTTGATCCATTCATCTACTGAAGGGCATCTGGGTTGGTTCCATGTCTTAGCTGTCTTACCTAACTTTTTATTTGAATAACTTTAGACTTAAAAAATGGCTCCAAAAATTAGTAGAGTCCAAAATTTCTAACTATACCTCATCCAGATTCCTGAAAGATTAATATTTTATGTAACTACATAGAAATGATCAAAATCAGGAAATTAACACTGTAATATTTAATCCATTATACCATGTCAGTACAGTTCATTATGCTCGGTATCGAATCTAGAATGAATTAAAGTAGTTTGTGTGTTGCTTTGAATTTGGACATATATTTTGTGGAGTGATTGATTGTGGTGCTGAGGAGGAACGTTTGGCCTGAGCATGCTAGACCGCTGTTCTACCACTGAACTCAGTTCTCAGTGCCTTCTTTTTTAGGATCCTAAACTTTTTGAAGAGTTGTATTGTAGAATGGCCTAAATTTAGGCTTATTTTACTAAATTCAGATTATATATATTATTGGCAAGAATACTACAAAAATTATAGTGTGTTTTTCTAAGTGAATCAATTCAGGAAGGATATGATGTAACTGATGTTGGATTACAGATAACTGTGAAATTAGATCACCTCATTAATTGTGTTGCCTGCAGGAGCCTCCATTGTATAATTATTTTTCATTTCCTGTTGTATGAATGTCATATGGATAGATATTATGGGACTGTGTAGACATCTTATATTTTTGTCCAGTGATTCTTATCTGTAATAACACAGTGGTGTTTGTCATGTAGTGATTTTTCAGTTTTAATCTTTCTATAGTTACTAGTTGAAATTTTACATTCAGAAACACTTTCCCTTAACGTTTATTTATCTAGTCAAGTTATTTATTAATATAATTAGCCATAGATTCTTACTTTATTTCTAAGGAAACAATTTGTTTTTATCTAGCCAATTATTAATATCACCATGTGTCTACGGATCCTTGCTTTATTCTAGAGTGATAATCTACTATTTTCTACTATTATCATTATTTATTTATTTTTATGTTTAAAGTGTTCCAGATTTAACAGTGTCTTTTCAAACTTGTGCTTCTGTCATTTTGATATGCTTCAATAAGTTTTTCCATAGTTCCTTATTTTCTAACAGTATAAACTATCTAAAAATCTTTTTGTACTTTTCCTTCTCCCAGTTGTTTCTCATAGAGTCATGAATAGTATTGGAAAATGAATGCTGTTTTTATAACCCAAATCTAGGCACTAGATATTCCTTTGGTACTGGAATGTCCATTCTGTATCATGTGAGTGGATATTTAAATGTATGTTTGTATGTGTGTGTGTGTGTGTGTGTGTGTGTGTGTGTGTATTAAAAACGGTCCAGAGTGAGGGTTCCAATTTCAATATGACACTAGTGTTCATTTTAATATTTCTTCTTTTTCCCTTATGTTTAAGTACTTTGACAGAAATACCAGCATTCATTATTCACAAAATAAGGATGTGCTCATACACATTCTTAGTTTATTTTTTTATTTTTATTTTATTTATTTTTATTTTTTGATGGTTGTGGGGCCTGAACTCTGGGCCTGGGCACTGTCCCTCAGCTCTTCAGCTCAAGGCTAGTGCTCTACCACTAGAGCCACAGCACCACTTCTGGCTTTTTCTGGCTTATGTGTTGCTGAGGAATCGAACACAGGGTCTCATGCATACAAGTCAAGCACTCTACCACTGAGCTACCTTCCCAGCCCCTCTTAGTTTCTTTAGTTAGGCTTCTTTTTTCTGTTTGAATTTTATATTGGTTCCTCATCCATACTTGTTTGTTTTGATTTTCCTTTTAAGAATCAAATACTGCTCTAAAGTTCAAAGTGATATAAAATTGTGTGCTCAGAAGTGTCATATTCCATTCATATTAAAATGTCGCAAGGAAGCCTGGTGCAGATGGTTCATGCCTGTAATCCTAGTTACTACAGGAGGCTGACCTTTGAGGATCAAAGTTCGAAGTCAGCCTAGGCAGGAAAGTTCATGAGACTCTTACCTCCAATCGACCACCAGAAAACCAGAAATGGTGCTGAGGCTCAAAGTAGTAGAGGGCTAGTCTTGAGCAAACAAAGCCCAGGAACAGTGCCAGGCCTAGATTTGAAGCCTCAGGATTGACAAAAACAAGTCATAAGGAAACTCAGTTGTACAATTGCTATAATAAAATAAGTATTCCAAAAGAAGTGTCATATTTTACCCTTTCTGTTGTCCATTCTTATTCTGCTAATATTTATACTTTTATGATGACTTTATTGTTTTTTAATGGGAACAAGAAATTTCTACTAAGCTTTATTTTTTAATTAAAATTTATTAAACATAATATACAGAGGGGTTGCAGTTTTCAACAGCATCACCTCTTTCCTCATTTTCTCCCAGTTTTTTTTTTCCCATCCAACCTCATTCTCTCCCAAATTTTATAGTTCATTTTCAACATAGTGTCTACTGAGTATTACTTCTGACTTAATTCACCTTTTGTTCCACCATATCTATGCTTACCCTTCCCCTTTCCAAATAAGACATATGGAAGGCTTCATGGATTTGTGTATCATCCTTGCGCAGGGACCATATTAATTTTATTTGTATCATTCCAATTTTAGTACATGTGCTGTCAAAGCAAGCACTTTTCTCATGTTATGGAATATTTTAGCATTTGAGTTCTCAGCTATTCATAGAATCCTAGCTATTGACCTTTGCAGTATCATGAACTTTTTCTATTTTCCTCTTTTTTACTGCATTACTCCCATGTGTCATATTGTATAACATCAAATATTAATCTTTCAAGCTGGGCTTGGGATGTGGCTCAAATGGTACAGTGTCTGATTTCAATCCCTGGATATAGTGGGAAAGACGTATGGTGAAGTGCTGATGGCTCATGCCTGTCATTCTAGCTAGTCTGGAGGCTGAAATCAGATAATTATGATCCAAAGCCAGCTCAAGCAAAGCTAGTGTTTAGGACTCCATCTCTAATTAACCATAAAAATGCCCAACTAGAGGCATGGCATGAATCTAGTGGTATAGTGTCACCAGTGAGCAACATTGAGTGAGGGCATGAGGTGCTGAGTTTAAGCAATCAAGCCACCAGTACTGTCAAGCAAAAACAAAAAAGAAAAAGAGAAAAAGAGAGAGGGGAGGAAGAGAGGAAGGAAGGAAAGAAAGAAGGAAGGAAAGGAAAGGAAGGAAGGGAGGGAGGGAGGAAGAGAGGAAGAGGGAGGGGGTGAGGGAGGAGGGAGGGGGTGAGGAAAATAGAAAGGAAGGAAAGAAGGTTGGTTTTTGTATTCATCTCTCCTTTGAACCAGTCTTCCATTTACAGAGCTTAAAAGTACCACCAGCCATTTGTTGGAGTTTGTCATCTGTTTCTTGATTGGTTAAAACACTATTTATAGATTCCTCATTAGTATTGAATTCCTTAGTTTTTACATGTTTAAATTTGTTAAAAACAGTCTTTATTTTACAAAGATTTCTCTTACATCTTGATTTTTTAATACAAAGACACTTAGATGGATATAAAATCCTTCGTTGATTTTTAAAATAAGTTGTTTTTAAGTATCTATTGTCGTGTTATTTTTTTATATTGTGGATGTCATGTTATTCTTTGTAAGTTATTTGATTTTTTTTTTTTTTTGTCCAGAGAGTCAAAGGCCTTTTTTTCCTTATGAAGTAGCCTTTCTTTTAAAAAGTTACGTCTAATAGCTGGGCGCTTATGGCTCACACCTGTAATCCTAGCTACTCACGAGGCTGAGATCTGAGGATTGTTGTTTAAAGCCAGCCGGGGCAGGAAATGAGACTCTTATCTCTAATAAACCACTAGAAAACTGGAAGTGGCGCTGTGGCTCAAGTGGTAGAGACTTGCCTTGAGCTGAAGAGCACAGGGACAGTGTCCTGGCCCAGAGTTCAAGCCTCACAACTGACAAAAAACAAAACAAAACAAAAAGATATGTTTTAGTTTTGTCTCAGATTCATTTTTCCAGATATTTAGACAGCCTTTTTAATATGTTCATTTTAGTCTTTTATTTTTGCAAATTTTCTTGGCCTAAATATTTAAACATCAGTTCTATTTCTTTCTTATTATTTTTTCAAAGACACCAGCTATAATGTACATGGAGATAATAATTGTTCTACCTAGTAGAGATGTCCTGATTATTAAATATGATAATATTTGTGGGGCTAGGAAATGGCTCAAGTAGAGTGACTGTTATGAGGAATTGAGTTCAAGTCTAAGTACTACCAATAAATAAATATTTATAAAGTGCCTTGCATATGACAAATGCTCAAAAAGTTTGCTTCCAATATTGTCATAATTCTTATGTTATGGGTACAGTGTTTACTTTAATACTAGTAGGGATGTGGCATTGGAAGTAAAGTACTTGCACTATCTGACTTTGAGCTATCTGGTCGTACTGGATTCCTTAGTCATATCCTTTACCTTCTGTATCATATGCTATATTGTTTTCAGTGACTTCTTCCTGTTGTTATGCAGATAAGCCAAAATATAACATGTCTTAAAAAAATCTTCCAGTGACATCATGTCCCTATTTAGCTCTATACTTTATTCTTCTACTTGCTCTAAGATAGAAAAATCTTCTATGTGCATAACTCTTCTACCTACTGCTTGTTTTTTTCTATTTTCATGCCTCACATTCCCTGCCACATTTTATCTCAACATTCCACTGACTTGTCTTGATTTTACTCAAGGAAGTAGCAAACTACTTCTTTTGTTTATTTGTTGTTGTTTTTAATTATAATGAAATCCTTTAGATGAAAAATAAAAAAAGTTGAGCAGTTGTATTTGCCATCTAGCTTATTAACAAGAAATATTCTTTTTTATATTTATTAAGTACAAGTAGTGGAGCTTAGTGCCTAATGTTTTTGCTTAGCTCTTTTGCACAAGGCTGGTGCTCTATCATCTGAACCTCATCTCCACTTCTGGCAATTAATTAGAGATTAATCTCATGAACTTTACTGCCTGGGCTGGGCTTTGATCTTCCTGAGTAGCTATTATCAAAAGGGTGAACCACCAGTAAGAAAAAAGGCACAAGTAAAAAATATTAATTCAGGTGATATTCTCATGCATTTTTCCCAACTATATCCCTGCTGGTGTTTCTGTATTGTTATGATTTCCCCCCCTCCCCCATTTTGGGTGTACTTTTGCTGAAACAAGGACACAGGATGACCCATTGCAACGAAGATACCCACTGGACAGTATATTGGAAATAAACTTTACAACTTCGGGTGGCAAGGTAGGGAGGGGGGAGATAGGAGTGTGGAAGCTGTGGGAGGAAAGGGATAGTGGGACAACAACAAGGAAGGGAAGGGATAGCAATGATTGACAAGTAATATACTCATTGTCTTACTCATATAACTGTAACCCCTCCATACAACATCTTAACAATAAAATAAAATTTAAAAATTCAAATTGTTACACTTTATATTAAAAGTTATTTAGCCAGGCGCCAGTGGCTCACACCTATAATCCTACCTATGCAAGAGGCTGAGATCTGAAGATCACAGTTCAGAGCCAGCCCAGGCGGGAAAGTCCTTAGACTCATCTCCAATCAATTACCAGAAAACTGGAATTGGCTCTGTGACTCAAGTGTTAGAGTGCTACCCTTGAGCTGAAGAGCTGAGGAACAGCACCCAGTCCCAGAGTTAAAGCCCACAACCTACCAAAAAAACCAAAGTTGTATATTTCTTTTTATGCAAGTTTGTTGTGAAACTAGCCCTTGAATGTTTCTTTTCACTACTGTCTTGTCTTTCATGAGACAAATAATCTACAATTTATCCACTATCTTATAAATGGTCATTTGTTTTCACTTTTCTGCTTTTATACACAGTCCTACTAAAGAAATTCTTTTAGTTGTTTCCTCCAGTGCATATTTAATACTTTTAAGCAGAGTTCCTATGTGGTAATGTATCTAACTAGATTATTTTCTTTTGAGACAATTTGCTTTAGGCTTCCATGATGTTGCCTGAGTTTCATCTTTCTCCTTAAGATAGGCATTACATATCTCATTATTTTGGGTCCTTACTTTTTTTTAAGTGATTTTTTTTTGAACAGTGTCACCCCTCCCTCATTTTCTCCTAGGTTTTTTTCCCTCCTGACTCCTCTCTTCCCCAAGTTGTATCGTTCGTATCGTTCATTTCCAACATAGTGTCTAGTGAATATTACTGCTGAATTAGTTCACCTTTTGTCTCACAGTTTCTATGCTTCTCCTGTCCTTACTCTTTCCAACAGTCTATACTGCAATGTCCTAAAGATTTATCCTTCATTTTTATCTCTATGACAGTATCAATTACATCATCTTGTTTCTTTTTTTCCCTGCAAAACAGATATCAGTCACACATACACACACAAACATACTAATGTGTGAATAAAAAATTAATAATAAGAAAAAGTCCTTTGGAGCCAGGCACCAGTGGCTTATGCCTATATTCCTACCTACTTAGGGGGGCTGAACTCTGAGGATCAAAGTTCAAAGCCATCCCTAGTAGAAAAGTCCATGAGACTCAACTCCAGTTAACTACCAAAAAAATTGGAAATGATGCTGAAAAAATGATGCAGAAAAAGCTCAGTGACAGCACCCAGGCCCTGAGTTCAACCCTCATGACCAAAACCAAAAAAAGTCCTTTGAAGTCAAAGATTTAATTTTTCTTCAGTATTTTATCTCTGTTTCTTAGAATAGTGTTTTACACATCTTCCCCAAAATTTATGGATTCAAATTCTCACATATTTTTAGAAGAGTCTCAGAACTCCTTTAGGTTTGACTTCCTTAATCCCAATTCCTTTTTTAGGGGAGTTTCATCCAGATGTCTTTCGGTGTGGTCTGTGTCTCAGGTTGACTTCAGCTGTCTTTAGTCCGTTTCGTGGTACTATAGCAAAATACCCATGCAGGTCATTTCAAAAAGAAAGAGGCTTATTTTGGCTCACAGTTTTAGAGTTAGGAAAGTCCATCAAACTCATGGCATGAAACTCAGCTTCTAGTGAGGGCCTTGTGCTGTGTTATAAGGTGATGGAGAAGTAGAAAGCCAACACATTCAGAAGGAACACACATGTGACAGAGATTCGAGGAGATGCTAAGGCATGCCTGAAATAACTTGCCCTGGAAATAACTAACCCAGTACAGAGGGGATTAAATTAATCTCTTCATAGGTTCAGTGTCTCCATGACCTCAACAACCTCTTAAAGGCCCTGTCACCTTTCCGTATTGGTAAAATGGCAAATATGTGTTCTGGTGGGGCAAAACCATTTGCAGAGATGCCATTCATTTTCCCCCTTAAAAATAGTTGTTGTTTTGTTTGTCCTGGGCTTGAACTCAAGGCTTGGGGGCTGTCCCTGAGCCTTTTCAACTTGAGGCTAGTGCTCCTCCACTGGAGCCACAGCTATGCTTTCAGCTCATGTGTGTGTGTGTGTGTGTGTGTGTGTGTGTGTGATTAATTGGAGCTAAAGAGTTTTACAGACTTTTCTACCTGGACTGGCTTTGAACTACAAACCTCAGATCTCAGTGTCCCAAGTTAAGATTACAGTTGTGAGTCACTGATGCCCAACTTAAAAATGGTTTGGGATCAGTTAGCCCTATTTACCCAGTTGATTCCCTCCTTCCCTCATTTCAGTTTCTTATTACTT